GCCTGACGCTGAATTACTAGATTTGGGTCAAAGCATATTGACCTTGTTCTGTTGCTAGCCCTAGCAATGTTAAGGCCTCGTGTAAAGCTGTAAAATTGCAGGCAAGCAGTATGCTGGAAGTCATTTTTAAACTCGAAGCAACTACAATGTAAATCTTGCAGTATTGCAAATGCTGTATCAGCAGGATGTTTTAATCAAGCAACCTGCCAAGTTAAGGAAATGGAAAAGTTTATAAGTTAGGTTAAGCAGGAAAGCCTCGAGATAACGTAGCTTAGAAATGTTAATAGTAGTGATTGGTGATACCACATGTACTAGATACAGTTGTGCTATAATAAATAAGTATACCTTTGTTAAGTTTCTAAGGTAAGTTGTAAAACCGCAATTTTGTCAGAAGACAGACATAAAATAAAGAGACATGAGATTTTTCCTTTCCAAAAACCGCAATTTTCACAGGGACATAAGCCCTAAACAACTGATATCTCCAGGGCCGTGTAAGAAGTGAATTAGTCCAGTTTCCAAAGTTTTACTAAAACATGGAAGTTTAATGAACCAGAGTATATTTATTTGAGTTAACCTCATAAAGATGGGTATACAGAGTGGATGGAAAACTGGAGAATTTGAAAGACCTGCTGCCAATCTATATGCTGTACTCCTCCTTTCTGAATTACCCCAGGCAGTATAGCTAGGTTTCCAGGATTCAAGTTTCATTGGCAGACACTGATAAACATCAATTTCACCTGATAGTCTCAAAGTGACAGAAAAAATATTTCCATTGGTAATCACTGAAATGTACATAAGAGGAGATAAAAGATAAATTCAGAACAGAAATAGGGAAATCTGGGTCAGGGAGTAGCGTATGTGCATGCATGCATGCATGCAGCAGCTACTGCAGAAACTGGGGGCTGTGCTGGTAAGGTTGTGCCTCAGGAGCAGAGACGGGGGGAGTTGAAGGGGCAGAGCTTGTAGCAGCAGTAAGCCCAGTGCTGCCAGCTACTCACTCTGCCCAGGTCCCAGCTGGGGCAGAAGCCAAAATCCTGCAGAGCCTGGGACAGCCCCTGCCTGATCAAGACAGGGGCCAAAATCCTGCAGAGCCCAGGCAAGACCCTATGTAATAGAGGCAGTGGCCAAACTCCCACAGAGGCTGTGCCAGGCTCTGCAGGAATTTCACGCCTGCTCCATCTGGGTCCTGGGCAGAGCAAGAGGCCAACAGCACTGGGCTCGAGGGCACTACCAGGCCTGCCCCTGCAACTCTCCCTTCCCAGCACAGGCTTATTGGAATGGCCCCCAGCTCCTGCAGCAACTGTTGTGCATGCATGCATGCATGCATGCATGCATGCTAAATTGATAACCACCCCCCCCCGCTAATTTCACACAGTCCTGAAGAATTCAATTAATAAAATCAAAGTAAATGCTTAAAAATAAGCATTGATTTTAGCTGTCAAAATAAATAAACAAATGAGTAAGTAATAAAATTCTACCAAACATAGGTATAGGTGAGAATCTAGATGCTGCTGTCATGGTTACCTAGGCAAGTACTGGGATAAGTGTACTTCTAGTGCTTTTAGAATGTAAAATAGTAGTTCTCAACTTGTGGGACACGTGCAGCCCAATCCACATGCTGATGCAGCCCTTGTGACATCCTGTTAAATGGATACACAGGAAGTAAGTTGTGTGTGTGCAGCCCACATAACACATTGAGATCTGTAAACGTGACCCACACTGGCAAATAGGTTGAGAACCACTGATGGAAACAATACAAGATCAGGCTGTAGACATATTGTTTGCTTCCTGCCAGTAGCCCACCAATCCATAAAATAAGAAATGGCTGCTTAACATGTCTGGAGTAAATGGGGACATTAAAGTAAGTAGAAACATAATTTACATTCATATTTGTACTTACAAATATTTTGTGTGTTTACATTATGAAGTAGTACAAGTAAAAGGCGTTTTAATTTAAATGGAAATTGGGTCCACTTAGGGATGCCAGAGTCAACAGCAGCTTAAATCGGCAGCAGCATTTGTGTTCATGCAAGATAAACTTGCCCAGGAAACTGGTAGTGCTAGCTTTGCATACAGTAATATGGGCATAAACTTTTATATGCATGGTTCCAAAATCAACAAAATACTTACAAACTTATTTAAATTTCTTTACTGAACTGATGGCATAAATCTGTAAATATGCCTTGGTTTTGACTGTCTTGACTAAAACATTCCTGGAATTCTCTTCTGACTATTGAGTGATTCAGAACACAGTTCACAACACCGTGAATTTCTTTGCATAGAAACCAGTGTTATTTGAAAAGTACCAATGATTTCATTTTACCTGTAACCAAGACAAATTTGAATCAGTTATTGATGAATACCTAGTGCACTACTGTACTGTGACAACTACTTCCCCTCCCTTAACTTTTCTTAACGTTCTAAGTTTTCACATGTGCACCAAGCTATGATCATGTATCTCACTAGTCTTATCCCTTTGTTTGTCCATAAAATATAGAATGTTTTCAGATTCTACCCTAGACCGACTTTACTCACTGAGTTTGCAAGCCCATACGCTCAACATAATGGTATTTCTTTGTCTGAATGTCATGCGATAACTTAAATGCTGCATCTCATCAATCCCACTGTTTGAAGGAAAAGTTTTAGGCATCAATAGGCAGAAACTTCTTGAACTTGGTGAAAGTCAGAAAACTAAAAAGAGAAATGAGGAGACACAGAAGCCAGGGGTATGGAGGATGGAGAAGGAAGATATTCCAAGTCATTTGGTAAGCAAATCCAGCAGCTTCAGTCAGAGCTCTATATATCAAAGACAAGACCGATGTTCTGTTTACCATCTTCCACCATAACAATACCCACCATAATGGTTTTGCCCATCCTCACACTTGATTTTAAATGCCCTGAATGACTTCTCTCTAAGGCAAATATAAAATAGATTTTAAATTGCTTGGTCAAAGATGGTGAATGGGAAACAAGCAGAACTCTTGGAACTTGGAGTGAGGAAAGAAGAACACAGAGCCTTTTCATGGGAGACTTTGACATAGGTGGAATGGTGGGGCACAGAGAGCACCTCAGATAGGAATGAGAATGAGGAATCCTAGTTTGGGAAGGAGGAGGTGGAAGGTACACACAGTTTCCAAAAGGGGAGAGACTAAGGAGCCACAGTGTAGGGGAAATGGGAGAATGGATGGGACAAGGTCCCTTTATGAAGAGAAATCAGGATGGGGAGGATCAATAGAACTCCTGGCAGAGGGAGAGATTGGGAGAAAACAGAATGGAGGGCACAGAGAGAGGTCCTGATTTATGGTGAAAGAAGAAATGTACAGGGACACAAGAAGCCTCTAGTAAAGGGGAAGTGGGATGAAATGGGATAGGGATCAAATCAAGACCCTGGCATGAAGGGAAAGGGGCCCAGGGTCCCTACAACAGAAAATGATAGGAGGCTGATGACCAGGAAGATTATGGAGAAGAGAGGAAATAAATTTGTCTACAGGAGTTTCAAGTATGCACAAACCTATCACAGTTGTGGGAGAAATACAGAGAAAACTGTTTTTATATATATCAAACATATATACACATATAATATAGATATAAAACACACATCTATATACACATACACTCATATACATACATACATAAAATAACATCATATATAATAACAAAAAACAAATTATTCTATACAGTATGTCATTCTTATATAATAAAGGGCTTAGTCCATTTGTCTGTCTGTAACGCTCTTGGAGCACTCTGGTTAGTGAAGCAACCAATCAGAGTGTGGAGCACTGCCATGATGGCGGGGACAGAGGCCAGTGGCACTGGCCTTGACCCCCTCAGCCCCCGCTCCATCCCTGTTATTATGGCGGTGCTCCATTGCCTCTGAGGAACAGGGCCAGGAGGGGGGGGGAGGGTGAAGCCAGCAGCACTGAAGGTGGTGGTGGCACAGGTTGCTGGCAGAGGGGGATGAAGGGGCAAGACTTCCTCCCCCCCACCTGCTCCTGGGATTTGGAGGTGGCACGTGATGGTGGGTGGTGGCTATCCGTCCCTGCCCCACCTCTCTGTCATTCTTGATGGGCAATGCGCTCATTCTATATATACTCTATATTATATAGATGTATTCTATATTATCTATATTAGATAATATTCTGCATTGTGTGTGTGTGTGTTTGTGTAATATGGAATACATTTTGCAATGAGAATCAGTGCATACAGAAAGAAGAAAAGGCTGGCTTTCCAGTGGTTAGGGCACTAGTTTGAGACCTGAAGGTATGGAATACCTGTGTTACCATAGTAAGTCACTTGCTCTCGATATGTATCAGTTTCCAATCTGGAAAACGAGGGCAATACCACTTTTCTATCAGAGGGATGTTGTAAGGATAAATACCTTTAAAAAAAATGCAGTCCTTAGGTGTTCAGCTGATGGGAGAAAATTATCTCAGCTATATATGGGAGATCTTAAGAGTACAGTGATATTTGAAATATATTTTAGAATGCTGATATCTATCCAATATCTAATCTGTTTGGTTGGCTTTTGGACATATCAACACCGAGAATTAAACAAAAATAAAATAAGCTGTGTCTTACTAAAGTTCTGGAACAGCTGAGTATGCAAACATTTTTAACTATGTAACAATGGTTTCCTTCCTTACACTTATTAATATGAACTTGTAAACAACTATTATTTAATACAACTATGTGAATTGTCTTTTAACTGTTTTCAGGGTTCTGAAATGTACGTAGCTTTCCCACATTGAATGAGAATATGTACAAGCCCTTGACACATGAGGAGCTAAAACAACATAGTATCATACAAAACAGATATAAATATTGCCACATGACTATGACAGCACGTACTGACACAGAGAATTAAATTTCCTTACTTGGAAATTCCGTATTATGAATGTAAAGAAGTATCCCCTCCTCAAGAAACATGTTTTAAATAAAACATCTAGCTATAGCAACAATTATTTTAATTAGCATGGTAGGGGAAAAAGTCAGCACATATAATGGATTAGTATGCACTTTACCAAAATTTATCTTCAGAATATCCTTAATAGATATAGAAGGGGGAAATCTAGAACGACTATCCTGTGCACATACTTAAGTTGTTACTCTGTGATTGAACTGCTGTAACCATAGTTCTTTCTTGTTTCATGTCTTCCCTACTTTATTGCCACCCCCTCATGGTGTGATGGAAAACAAAGATTGCAAGTTCTCCAAGGCACTGCCTATATCTTTTTATGTCTTCTCTGAAGTACCTAGTAGACTCTTGGGAGCTAAAATAGCTGTTATTATGATGCTGCAAAATACAAAACTCCATCTCAGCTCTTGTAGACCAATATCATTGCTAAAAGAAGTAAAATTAAGTATATAGACAAACGCATCATGGGATGCATTTTTAACTTAATTTTACTGGCAACATTTATGATTGCATCAATTTGCACAAAATTGTGCATGTGTGTGTAGACTAACTGCACATATAACTGGATAGTTAGGCACATAATTAGACAGCTTGCTGAATTACCCAATCATGCAAATACCTGTTTGCATGCATAAATGTATGCACAGTGATTTCACCTATAAACACTGCAAGTACAATTCAAGTAGCTCACACCAATCAGATCGGTATCAGCCAATATGGCTACATACTAAACGAATTTGAAACTCTACTCAGCAAATAATATATATAAAATAAAATAAAAAAACACATTGGTCTGCACAACAAAGATGGACAACATGTTTGATTGCAAAGGAACAAATACTTGAAAATTCTTGACTTAAATATCAGCAAAAGCAAAGTTTCTGAAAGAAAATGGGACTGATTTTATGGTTGCTATATGGACCTCAAATATGATTTGAGGGACACTACACATTTTTTCTCCCATGTGACTACTGTTGTACTTCACTTACAAAGAAATTTCAACTTACTAGTCTTTAAAGACTGTCTGATTGTGTCAGCCAGCATGGAATTTCAGGGACTTCTAGATGGCAGCATTATTCACGATTATTGCAAAACAAGTCTTTCCTTGGACGTGACAAAATCAAGTAAAGTAATTCTGCTATGATATCTGTAGTTACACTGCACTGACCTGTCTGTATATTGGGTACCCTAAGAAAAGAAGATAATCTGGCAAGGAATGGATAATCCACCAAATTCAGGCTATATAATTAAACCCACATGAGTTGTTGAAAAACAATTCTTTAGAAAAAAATCACATCAGATTCAAGCACTTAACATCCTGAATTCCCATAGTGCAGGAAAGAGGATCTATCAATGGATCCACAGAGTTTGCATCCTGTATAAGCATGCATTTATGTCTTAAAATGTAAAGTTCCCAAGAAGTCAAGTTTGGAAATGATACAAAAGCTATAATTCGTCAGAATCACTAAACATTGTGTACTCCGTACTTGCCACATGTTAATGATCAGGTTTGTATGGAGAGGAAGAATATTGTTTGTTGATATGAAAAAGAGAAAATGAGGAGATAAAAGAAAAGTTCTTGAAGAACTAGGTATCCAAATATCCACCACATTCTTTTACCAATGTGAAGCATTGACGCTGCCTGGCTAAACTATGTTGCTAAATGCTCTTTTGATTACAATGGTTAAAGTTCTACTAACTCCCATGGAATTTTACCCAGACACATTAGCACAGAATCATATCTCTGGTGTTTGCAGAGAAAAGTCAAGGGGCTTTTTAAACTGCAACTTTCAAGTTTATGGAATATTTAGAACAAGATGTATATTAAACAAATGAAAACATTGTAAGATTTTTGCCCCTCTTCCACAAGTGAAATCTTCTCCGTCTCAGAATGGTTGCAGAAGGGACAAAATGCTGCTAAGGCACTGTTTTTGCCTTGGAGATATGTCTGAGAAATTAGGTGTGAAGAGACAACCTGGCTAAAAATAGACAACCACTTAATCACTGGTTGATTGCCCTGAGTTTTGACTCCCATCAAAACAGGCCTGGGCAATCATTTACATGTGCAACTTGCATGACAATTATGTCAAATTAGCCTTCACTGTCCTGGGGCAAGGTGTAAATTTGAATATTTCACAGGTACCTGAAGTGGGACAATGAGTGTGTGTTGGCCTGAAAGACCCCAGGATAAAATTATTTGTCCTGGGGCAAACTGGTTTTCTGTTTTTAGCCTCTGATGTCCCTATGTAGCAGCAGTCGGGCTCTTTAGGGAAATGGGGCAGTATGGCTAGTTTGAGAGCTAAAGGGAAACCTACAGGCAGCAATGGAGTAGGCTGACCACTGGGAAAGTTCAGACCTAGTCCTACAGCATTTTATACCAACACCAAACAAGTCTCCCATTGGGCACGATCTTGTTAGAGAACTGCGGGTCAAGCTGAACAGGCTGAGATATGGATACAGATGCTTCACAATAACATTTCAGAAGATGAACGCCTTGCCCTATGTGAATGCAACACAGCACAGTGCTTAAATCGAAACCTGAAATCTTTACAAATGCCCATATAGGGCAGACGGAATCCGCACAAGAAACCATAATACCAGAGAGTAGACATGTTTATAAGGGAGACTATTGTCCAATGGTTTCTGTGCGTTTATTTAGTACTTGCTTATAGACATACTAAATAAATGCGTTGTAACTGGAGTTACTGCATAGTAGCATCAGTGAACTTTCAGTGAAGATCAGTAGTCTTTTAAGTGACACTACTGCACAGTAGCCTAATACTACAGTGCAGTAGCATCTCAGCACTGTTATTGACACACAATACTATTGCTACTGTCTTGTGTAGATGCACCGAGTGGTTCATAGATTTTGAAACTGATATCTGAAGTCATAAGAAAGAAAAAAGGATGAATGAGCCATTACAGGTGCACCAATATATCAATCTATATCATATCGGCATCAATATAAGGAAAATTGACAGTATCAGCAATTGGCATTTTTTGGCTGATGTCACCAATAATGTAGTTGATAAATGCCCTGTGCATGCATGCAGCTGCAATGCAGCACACAGGCAGCCAGAAGCACAGCCTGGCAGGATGGAGAGCAGTCAAGCTTGACTGGTAAGTCTGTTGTGATGGAAGGATCAGGGGTGGAGGGGCATGGGGGTGCAGATTGAGGCCCCTGCAGTGAGGAAGCTAGTGGGGCTGGGGCAGGTGCTGCACAGCCAGGGCAGGACATGG